CCCAGCTGCCTCCAGGAGGGAGGCACAGCTCATTCACCTGCACGCCCAGACTTCAGAAAAGGGATCTAAATTTCCATTTTAACCCTAAAGACACAACATTTTCCTTGAACTTCCACTGAACGCTTCAGTGGCTTCACTTGAAATCCTGAGCATTCAGCAGCATTCCTCTTCCCAGGGTCATGCAAAGTTTATCTTTCCAAATCACTCAGTGCATCTGTAATCAAGCTGTATCTTGGCTGTAGTCCTTAGGTTTACATCTTGCTGTCTGTCACTTCCTTCACAGGTTCACAGGAGGTCAGAGCCCCCTGTCCTTCACATCTTCTCTCACTGAAAACACATCTAGTTAAAGCCAAAAGACAACTGATGGAGCTTCTCACGCATGACTAGAAGATTTAAGATCATTTCCATAGCAGAATGTTTTCCACGGTGTGTTTTTTACAGCTGCCAAGTGGTTACTCATGCAAATTAGCTGTCTCATAAATGAAAGCACTTCAAGGGATGCTCTCAGTACCCCTCCAGATCATTATATTTAAAGTTATTATGATATTTCTGATTTAATTCAGTTCTTACTGTGAAAGATACTCGGTTAATCAAAATATGAGGGAGACCACCATCTATTTTTAATTAATAAATTACAAGCTATTGTGTAATCAGTAAGATTTCTTCAAGGTTAAAATGAAGTGCTCATCCCACGATCCATGAACACAATTTTGAGCTGAGGATCATGCAACAATGAAGATGAAGATGAAGAATGGAATTCCAAGCACAAATGTCCCTGCAGCACTGTAATAAGGCAGCCTTGAGCTCACACGAAAGCTTTCAAACAGTAAGGTTGCACTTTTTCAGAAAGTATTTAAAAGTGTGTTTAAATTCAGCACATCTTTCAGTCCCATTAAAAAAAGGAACGTCTTTTGAACATATCCATAAATCTAAATACGGACATCTGTTTTTCCCTGACTAGATGATTTAATTAAACATTTATTTTTCTGAGCAGGGGTCTGAGCACCTCAGGAAAGCAGCAGCACGGGCAGTAACACCCAGAGTCACCCACTGTGCAGACCTGCTCCTTGGTCCAGCCCAAACCTTTGCACAATCCTGGAAATGACCCTTCAGGATCTTGTTTTGTTTACATCAGCCTCCTCATCAGCCTGAAGCCTGCTGCTTTCTGTGAAGTGAATGACAAGTCTGTAGGCTGGAGACTGATGTTTATACTGCCTTCAGTGACTCACAGGAACAATTAAACATTCTGACTTACAATGGCTTCATCTCTTTGACTCCCAGTGTCAAGACAGGGCTCTGCATCAGCCATTCCCTGCAGGTACTGCTCAGGTTCAAGGGGGGCTCTGGAGAGGCCTGAAGTGACTGGATTTCTTTCAAGATAACTCCTAGTTAAGGGAAAGCCTGTAATTACTCATGCTGAAAGTGTGAGACTGATCTACACACAGGGAGCAGGATGGTCTGCAGGATGATCAGTTGTGCTGAACAACTGGATCTTGTTGTGACTCCATTTTAGATAATCAAAATACTTGTTCAAGATGAGAACTGGAGCCCTGACACCCATAATGTGACAAAGCAGCCTCATGGTGCGTCTTACAGCACTGGCTGGTTGGGCTGTGCAGCCCCCTGGGCCCAGCAGAGCAAGATCTCCACCACAGAATGTGGTACTCCAAGAACCAGCCTTAAAAAAAAATTAATTGCATAGAGCTCCCAGTCACTCCAAAAGATGTTCACACATCCTAAGTACATTTATGGGGTGTGCTGAAGAAGAGAAAAAAAATCTTATATTTAAAAAAATAATAATTTCAAATTCAGTTTGAAAAATTTAAATTGCTTTGAAAAGTAAATCATGTTCTGGGTCCTGATACTGAAAGATATTTAAAAATTAAAGCCAACAGATAAATATTGTCATTGATTTCAGTCATGGACTAAAATCTCTCTGATGTCTGGGGGAACTTAAAACTCACCAAGTCTTTAAATAAACGCTGATGCTTTTCCCCCAGGTTCAAAGAAATTGGAGAATGATACCAATTCTGTATTCAAATCAGCCCATGAGGATTAGGCAAAGGTAGCTATTATCTCTGCAAAGCATGTGCATAACAATGAACATTTAAAGAGAAAAATCTTCCATTTCAGTAAAATTTTATGAGAACACGAAAAATAGTAAAACCTTTATCTCAGACACCTTATGCAACATCCTCCTCCTAGCAGCACTTTTCTCTCTGATGGGTTTTACAATATTCTTATTCAAGAAACCATTCTTTCCAAAATGATAAATTTGCAGAGGTACATTCTCATTTCGCTGTGTTTTAAAAAACAATAATTCTGTTTGAGAGACATCAATGCTTTTTGGTACTTGAAGTGTAGATAAGGTAAGATTCAACATGTTTTATTGACTCAGTTTTAAAAGTCTTGAAAAATCAACAATTCTCACTGATTACAGCTTGGTTTGGGAAAATGTGATTTTTATTGAAGGCAATGGCTAATTCTCCAGCTACTTTGCAGTGTAATATTGGGATTTAGGTCTGACAGCGGGTCTTTATTATTAGGAAGTTATTTGGACAAAATGGATTATTTTTGAGCTAAATCCAAAAACTGCCAAGAACAAGTCAAATTAATTTGTAAATATGGACAAACTCATACTGCAACAGCTCCCAGGAGCTCCCAGGACAGTATCATGCATTTCTCCCAAGTCTCAGCACTGGGAAAAGTATTCTGTCACCTGTGACTGCAAAGATAACCTTGAAAATACCCCATATCAGAGCAATAAGTGGGTTTAAACCCAGAAAACAGCTTTTATTTCTAAATGTGAGATTTTTTCAGTCAGTTATGTAATTGCAGTGTGTCTCTTAGAACAGGTCAAAAGTTTTAAATCAAAAGTTTCTTTCCAAAAAGAACAGTTTAAAAAATAGCCTGGACATGGCACTCAGTGCCAGGGTTTAGGTGATGAGGAGGTGTTAGGTCATGGGTTGGATTTGATGATCTCAAAGATCATCTAGTTAATTCTGTGATTCTGTTACATTAAGAGTTCTTGTATCACACATTACATTTTCCATATTCCAATTCTGAAAAAAAAAAAAAAAAAACATAGCATCAATTCAGAAAAAAAATACTGAAATACAATCAAATTTCCTTTAATTTAAAACAAAGTGAGAATTTTCCAAATCCAAAACTTCCAAAGAGTTTCCCCGTGGCACAAAGTGAGGTTGACACTTCTCAGCTCATCCCCCAGTAACACCAGCACACAAAGACCTCCCCACCAGCCCTGCAGACCAGACCAGCAGTGAGTGCCCTCGTGCTCACCTGCACCTACCAGCTCCTCTGATGCTGGCAGAATGGACAGTCCTGCAAACCCTCTGGGAAAAATGGCATCAAATTATGGACACATGAGAAAAGCTTCAGTTTTTCCCTGTTAAAGCTTTACCTGTTCCTTTTTTTACATTGATTTTTCCATTTTCCCTAGGTAAAGTGATCAATCCTGGCTGCCTGACAGCATGTAGAGCAAATAAAACCCCGTTTGATCTACTCTGCTGTGGATCTGCTTGTTAGAGTACCTTTGGAGAATGTTTCTTTCTCTGGGAATATAAACATACTTGAGAATATGTTTTTCTGCAGAACTTTCTGCTGAAAGGTCAAAATACTGCCATTTCTTCATTTCCTGGAGTCTCTATCACATACCCCAGGAGTGCAGATTACCATTGGCACATCCTGGTGTTAGCAATTAGAGGCCTGGGATGGGTTTGATTGCTCTAAAACAGATTTCCCTATCAGCTATTGAATTCAGGATTCAAAGTTTTAATCTTCTCCTGGAAATTGCCTTTTTTGGATTCTGCTTTCCTAAAGCAAAGGAGAATATTCCTAAGCTGTAATTCCCTTTCCTACAGCAGGGGATTGTTCCCTTTTTGAGGAATTTGGTCTGAAGTTCAAAGATAAGTTGTCATGGGGATGGTACCTGCAGGAGCTTGCTCCAAGCTGGACCCTGCCAGCTCCAAAGAGTCCCCACAGGATTTACTGAAGGATGATAAATGCTAGATCTCTCCAGACAGGATGCAGAAGTTCTGCAAGGAAACTGGAAATTGATTTCCCCTTTACAAAAAAGGTTAATTACAGAGCCTTGGGAACATGTTTGTTATTTACTACAAGCAATAAAGACACCACATTTGACTTGGGTAGCAGTTTAGCCCAGAGATTAAGCTTCCTACTGTTCCAGTTTTGCAGCTGAATAAAGTTAGATGTGGAGAGGGGACAGGGCCATCCCACCTGCCCCCAGTGAGCTGCTGGAGGAAAGTGGTGTTCCCAACACCCATCCTGCCCACCATTCCTGATAAATGCACACAAGGGGATGCAGCCAGGCCAAGGGATGAAGCCAGCTGAGGGCACAGCCCACTGTGACCTGGAAATCAGTGGCAATGAGCACAGCTTGTCCCTGGATGAGCCACTTGGGCACAAAGGATCATTCCTGGTGCCAAACACAGCCTTGGCTTTTGCCAGAGGTTGTAGGGCTGGCTTGGTAGCACTGCAGCATGCCCAAAGGCAGACAGAGCCCTCTGGCATGCACCCTGCAGACTTCAGGGACCAGATTTGGGCCAGCTGAGCGGGCTGGCAGGAGGCACTTGAACCATTCATCCGACTGGTCTGAACAAACACCGCCCTTCTCTTGCTCCCTGCTTCGTGCCCACATCGCTTCTCAGCGTGGCTGAGTTTCATGGGGAGAAGATGTGATTGGTTTGGCTTTGTTTTTTCTCACCACAATCTTTAGGAGCTGTTGAACACAACACTTCCCTTTGTGGCTGTGCTGACAGCCATGGACAGGAGCCCTGAGGGCAGATGGGCAGCAGGGACCTCCACAGCCTGAGCGTGGGTTGTTCATGCTCTGGGGAGGGATGGGTGAGAAGCTCTGCCTGCACTCCTGCGGCTGTGGGCAGCTGGTGTTCCTGTCCTTGGAAAGGACAAATGCCTCCTAACAGGAGTGTTAAGAAGTGGGCAGTGAAATAAATGGGCAGATTCATAACAGGCAGCACTCTGCAGAGCCCAGCCCAGCTCTGAGCCAACACAGCCCTGCTGCCCTGGGGAGCCTCTGCGCAGCTTTGGGCCTCCTTGCCCTGCCACTGCAAGGATGAAACCCCACACCAGCAAAATCAACCCATTCCTTTGATGAGGGCAATAACCAGAAGAGAAAAAAGGGAGAAAAACAAGCCTGACCTTTGTGACATTCTGACAAGAACACAAAATGGCAAAGGTCCTATTTTTAAAGGCCATCATCCTGCTGCTGTCGGACCATGGCAGAAAGCTGCCTCCACAACATGCCCTCAGAAATAAAAGCTGGGCTACCACCTAAAATTGCTGCAACATGCCTCTGTTTTAAGGTCTCTCTCAGGGTAACTGAAGTCTGTGGGGGAAAAATCACTATCCAGTATTTATTTTATATCTGTGTGCTTAAATTTAGCCATGGCTGATTCTGCAGAGGAACTCTGGATCTGTCCAGGAGAGAAACAGAAGGCAGAACCAAGATGCCAATAAACAGCCACGGTGTAAATAGGATTTACACACTCACAGAAATGTGAAAAGAGTAAAAACAACTTTTCTATGAGTTGCTTCGTGGTCTTACATTGCAAATGAACAGTTATAAGGAAACTAGTGGTTTTTTAGGCTCTCCAGGTTAAGGATATATTTTTAAGACTTCAGATTAATGAGAGCTAGTGCACTCACTTAAAGCAGGAAAAATTCCCCTTTAATTACTCAAAAGAAAAACCCAATAATTAATAGCTACCAGAAATAATAAATCATGGTAATCTCATTTTCATTACCCTTATTAGCTCAAGAGATTGGTTGAATCAAATCCAATTTCATTCTTGCAGAAATAAATACACTATTATTTTTAGCTCATTTCCCAAGACTGTGCAGTCACTGTGCTTGGGCTGTCTGCCTGTTTGTCCACTTTGATAAGTCTGGAGCCTGCTGGCCAAGTTCAACTTGAATTAATGACAACACAGTAGTCTCAGGGTTGTTATTGTCTGACCTGTTTTGTGACCAGTCTCTGGCCAGGAAGGACTCAAACAAATGGCCCTGCTTTGGCAGGTAGAAGCAACTTGGTGTGAAACCTCCTCACCTGATTGCACAGGAAAGGGTGGGCACAGGGAGAGAGAGGGAATACAGAACCACACATGAGGATACAGACAGGTCATAGAGGCACTGCAGGGAAAGCCCACACAGTCACCAAATAGCCAGTAAATATTCCCGTGATTTCAAACAGAATCACTTATTACCATACCATATTTATTTATCCTCAAAAAATCAGATTATTTTAATACTAAAAATATTCCATTACCTATACGGCAAAAAATATGTTAGAAAATTTCCTGACACTGACTTCCAATTCCCACAAACTGGGGGGGATAATCCTTAGCAAGCTGATGAGCAGGTTGTGTTCTATGAAGGAAATTCCTAACCTGTTGCTTACAACCTATTTCACATTATTACTAAAATATTTACTGAATGGATATGATGCAATATCTCCTTCTCTTTGCAAAATTCTCCTAAGGCCAAAAATAGGTTATGACTTAAAAATAACATGCACCACATTGGAAATCAATTAAATACTCTGACCAAGACCTAATAACTGAGTCATGAGCTGTCACACTTCTATTTTTAGGAATGGATTATGTTCTTTCCCGGGCATTGGCAATGACTGCTTTCTTCATGTATCAATTCTGTAACGTGACCAACCATTTACTGAGATGTTTGATACACAACCTTGTGACAGTGCTTATGGCAAATACTGTAAAGTTAACAACCAGCATTACCCAGAGGTTGGGCTGGACACCAAGGTGTGCCTTAGGAAAACACCAAACTTCTCCCAGGTGCCTCTTCAGCTGGAGTGAACCAGAAAAAAGGGGATGACAAAGTGGATCACAGCCACAGGAGCCAGCTGCTCCTGCAGTCCCATCCATGCTCTCCCTGCTCAGAGCACTAGTGGTTGAGAGTGCTGGACTTGTACCAGGAGAGAAAAGTCTTTGATCAGCAGGAAGGAATGAGCAAAACCCACAGAACATCTCAAACCTGAACATTTAGGGCAAAGCCAGCACCCACCTTGAATGTTGCATACTCTCCAAAGAAGCAAATGGGGAGCAGCAGCAGTGGAGCAGCTCAAACCAACTCACCAGCAGAGTTGCTTGGCTCTTACCATTTAGCAGTCAGAACAGAGCTGGCAGTGAAAGAGTATAAAAGGCCCTAACCACCAGGAAAACTTTAACAATCCCAGCATCAAGGGAATTCCCAGTCTGCCTGGCGGGAATGGTCTGGGGAGGGACCATGTGGGGACAGTGGCTGGCTTGGCTGGATTTCCTCTGCCTTGGCTTGCCACCAGGGAACAGAAAGCCACTGTGAACATGGAGTGAGAAACTGGAAGAAGAAAGAAGAAAATCAGTATTTACAAACTCACAGGGAAATTTTTCATGAAGACCTGTTACATTCCTGCTGTGCCATGCAGTGGCCTTTTATGTCTGTTTTATTTTTCCTTCATTAATTCTGATGTTGACCATTATCACAGCCTCCTTTCTGTGGTAATTACAGCAGACAAGAGAAACGAGCCTGAAACATCAATGGATGCAAGTAACACTTGACTTTATGGTGTTCCAAATCAATTCTCTGTAGTGTGGGCTTATCTTGAGCAAAACAAAAGAAATCTGTGAGAAACCAAGTGCAGCAGAGAGTGAAATGCAGGTTGGTAAGCACTGCAGATGAGGTTCCTGGTAGTATTTTGAGGAGGATGTATCTGCACACATTAAGGTGCAGATACCTGAACTCTTGCTGAATGCACTGGCCTGTGTAAGCTCATTGTGCTTCTCAGCCCAGACCCAGCATGATCAATCCCACAGTAACTTAAATATGTGCTAAAGGGATTACCTGGCCAATGTGACATTTCATGTGATGCCAGCTCACCTTCACACACGTGGCAAAATGTGGGCAATAAATTCCAGGATGCTGGCACAACATCCTGAATGCCACCACAGCACTGAGCAGCTCCAGCTCTGTCAGTGTCACACGCTGTGACAAATTCAGACTCACCTCTTTTTGCCTTAAGGAGCAGTTGGCAGCTAAGTAGCAGCCTGCTGAGATGCTCTGAAGCATCCTAGCCAGGACTGCGATGGGGCTGTGACTGAGAAGTCCTCCTTACTCCAGGTTTTGGGATTTCTCATAGACCTTTACCTGTTCTGTTATCAGAGACGTGCACACATGAAGAAGCTCAGCAGTGTGGCACCATGCTGAGGGAAGTGTTCCTGGCTCTTGGTTCTCCTCTTCAGCACCTGAATCTACAACGTGCAGTTCAAGGCTCAAATCTAATGATTTCACTAGTGACTCACCAGCAAACAGGCATTTTCTGCACTCTTTAGCCCAGCAGGATATAGACTTTTCAAAAAGTAAAAACTTGTCTTTCCTTGACACATGGGAGCTATACAATCACTTAAAAGTACGTAGATAAACTCTAAAATAATGCCTTTCCTGCAGTTGCTGTGCTGGTTACTCTAGACTGATGTTCAATGCCCTTACCAGCTGATTGCAAGATCTTGTCTAAAGGGAGAAGATGCATAAACATTTGCCAGAAAAAATGCTTTTTGATTTCCCTTAAAACTCTCATTTATCAATATTTTAGTCCATGTTCAGCCTTATTCCACATAATCTTCATTAGCTTTTGCCACTAACATTTCATTAACTTTTACTATCATTATTGGTCACCAAAGCCTAAAGCAAAAGATGAACCTGGGAATGGAAAACACTTGTACATTTTTATCCCTTATGCAGCATGCATAAAAGAAGTGTGGTTTCTGTTTCTCTGCCCCCCTGGGGGATTCACTGCTCCAAAGAACTCCACAACCTGGTAAAAATATCTTATTTCTTATCTTTCTTATTTGCCTGTAACTCTGAGAATAAAAGCAACACACTTTAGGAGGACAGCCAAACTTCAGACTGACCTGGTGAAAGGGGCAAACTCCTCTGCAGCACTTCTGCTCCCCGTGGGAGAGATTTTGACTGCATCCTCACCAGCAAAGCCTTGGAACAATTCCAGTGTAGCAGAGCTGTTATAAATTCATGAGAGCACAGCAGAGCTCAGCGTGGGGCCTGTCTCAGAGGGCAGTTTCACACAGCATCCATGTATTGCTTCCTGAGGGGCCACCTCCTAAAGTCTGTGAAAAAGAGCACACTGCCACTGTCCCTGCAGAGGTAGAGTGATCCCTTCTGCTTGCTGCCATTCCCCAGAAATGCAGGAATTCCAGGGACCAGAGACAACAGCTCCACCTGGCAGAGGTAACAGGGAGGGTACAAATTACACTCAGCAGCACTGGAAGTGCTTCAGCATCTACTTGCAGCAAGTCCTAATAGGATACTTGTAAATGGTTTGGAGTTATTTTAGTAGGAATGATCTAATAGTCAAATTGGTTTTGCACAGATCATTGTTATAATGGGTAGCATGAAAAGGAGGGAGAATTATGCTTCCTCCTGAGCCTCCTGTATTAAAGTTAATTTCATCAGGATAATCATTCCCTGGGAGTACCCAGCCCTGTGAAGACCTTTCTTTTCATGCATTAGTGAATTATGTTTTAATTCCTCATTATCAGTGATGGAAATACTGTGCAGGAAAACCATCACACACAGATAATTTGGGACCATGCACCCATCTTTGCCAGCTGCCTCCTCTGAGGAGCTGCTGTGTTCCACACTGTCCTCACACACCTCAGCACACCTCAATTAACAATTCTGTGTATCAGTACCTGGATTGAATTTATTCTTGATCTTTGACTCCTTAATACAGAAAAATGCAATAATAAAGTGCCAGCCAGAAGGCTGTCTTTCCATAGATCATTCAGAATGTTTTTCTATTCCAAATCTGCAGCCTTTAAAAACACACCTACTCTGCTGCTTAGTGAGTCCTGTGGCTGTTTCTTATCTCATCTGCTTCTCTTTGTCTTATTCTGTTAGAGATCCTCCCTGTTGGATAAAGTCATCAGGTCTTTGAATAAGGAGAAACAATTTCTTTCACTTGATTAACTGCATGACTTAATGCTATCAGTTCCATTAGGGGACAGGAGCATGAGACAGGCTATCAGGGAATCAAAGTCACTCACAGCAACACAAATCTCTGCAGCAGCAGCATGAGGTTTGAATAATCAATTGCACATTCCCATGGCGTTTGCATCCAATAATATAAATATTTCTTGCAGCTTTCAAAGGTATTGTGCTGCACAGGAGATTGACAGTAAAAACAAAATTCCTACAGCATCACTTCTTAGGTTATTTGCAGAGCTTGACATGGGTAAGGTGCAAATTTGGGGCAATTCAGATATGAGAATATGACATTGTGATAGAGATATCTGTAAGTAACTCCAATTACTAGAATGAGATAAATTAACTTTGGCTCTATCTGGGTGCCATTGGGTGGTCAGGAGAGCACCTATGGCAGACTGAACTGCCAGCTGCCTGAAGGCTGAGAGAGTCCTGCCCAGGTTTTCACTAACTAATACCTCAGTAAGTGCTCCTTGGTGAGTGTGAGGTCTGAGGCAGTGCTAATCTGCTCAGTGGTTGTTGAGCATTTGAAAGAGAGCTGCCCACTGCACCAGGTGAGTGTTTTCAAACCCCAGGGAGCCACAGTTCGGCCAGTGGAGGCACCACAACTCCTGTTGGACGTGGCACACAAACCCTGAGCTTTCCTGGAGCCCAAGGACAGCCAGTGCAGCCCCAGTGCAGCCCCAGTGCAGCTCCAGTGCAGTCCCAGTGCAGCCCCAGTCCCTCCTGCCTTAGCCATGAGTTCCTGTGCCTCCAGCCCCTGAGCTGCAGGGCTGCAGGGAAGGTTGGAAATTTTGCTGGGGAGGAGACAAAGTGCAGCATGCTGGCCAAGTCAGATAAGGCTTTTACTTTTAAACCAAGCAATTTGGTTCAATTGCTGATACACACAAGCTATTTTTGTCTGACGGAATTCATCAGTCAATTCTGGAACATCAGTATCCACATCAAAACTGTCACATGTGGTAGATGTCTCAGGAAAAGCAACTAGGATTGATAAAGTCTAATAAGGCCAACAAGAACTTCAGAGAAACTCTGGAAATTTGGAGCCCAGGCCAAGAACCCAACTTGGTAAGTCTGAAATTAAAACCTTTGCACCACCTCAGTCCCAGAAACTTCCCAGAATAAACATCACTACAGCTACCAAGAACATAGAGTGAACTGCAAAATAATTACACTCATCATGTGCCAAGGGAAACCTGACTGATTGCTGCAATGCTGATTAGTTGCCCCCCCTTGCTCTGGAGAGCATTAGCATGAAAGCAGAAATATCTGAAATATCAAGGTTATCTCTTTGGCAGGGGGGCTGAGGTTATTGTCCCAGGAAAGGCTTTGTTTCATCTCATTATCACAACCTCTTCCCCTCCTGCTGCCCATACCTCTGGGAGGGTGAGGCATGACCACCCCAAGCAAGAAACCAGCCCAATCTTGGGCACTTCCAGGCAACCACGATTCTTCCTGCCTGCTGAGGACACTGCTCCCACACAGCTAGATGCTACAATAACTTACTCCACTCTGCAGCAGCTGCTTGCCAGAGATTAGGACTTCCAGCACTTTTTAAGTAAACGAATTTACATCTTCAATTCCCAGTCAATTCTCAGCCCTGCTGCAGTTCAGCCATCTGACAGGACCACACCAAACCTCATGTTTGGGAAATTCATATATATATATATATATATGATATTAATATATCCTACTTGAGAACTTTATATATATATATATGTATATATATATGTATGTATGTATTTATATATATAAGTTCCCAAGTAGGACATACTAATTATCTGAAGCCCAGCCTTCAGGCCTTTTTAAAGCTGCTCAGCTCCAGCCATCACATGGTGCAGGAGGAAGCAATAGGTCTCATACCCAAGAAGATTAACTCTCCAGAGCTTTTCTAATTAGAGACACCAGCTCCTTGCCAAGGAGATGTGCTTGCTGCAGCTTATTTTAGCTCTGCAGTTCTGACAAACCAGACACTTTTCTTCTTATGATCTTGTGTAATTGGAAGAAAAACTTTTTCTGAATAATGAATGCTCAGAGACACCACTGTTCATGAAGCAGGATGCTCTCATGATAAAAACAGGTCTACAAAACAATAGCTTTACTGTAACAGTGAATTTGCCCCTGTAAATCCCAGGAGCAGTGAAGAGCTGAGGTTGACAGGAATCCCCATTCCAGTCCCTGCTCATTGGAGCCAACCTCAGCCTCAGGTCAGGTTGCTCTGGGCTGTGTCCAGTGAAGCTCTGAGTGTCTCCAAGGACTGAGGTCTGCCTGCCTCTCTGGGTCCCCATGGCAATGCCTGACCACACTCACAGCCAGAACAATTTTCCTACCTAACAATTCCACTTGCTGCAAACAGCTCATCATTGCCCTTTGCTGCACAGCTCAGAAGAGAGTCCATCTCTAGTCTCTGCAATTTCTCACCAGATTACGTTTTATTTATTATTTGAATTGATCTTTGGTGCTCTCCACATTCTAATCTTTAAAAAAAAACAGGTCTTATTTAGGCCTGAGAATTACTGGGTAGAAAGGGGAAGAGATGCCTTTCTGCACAAGTGACTCTGGAGCGTGAGGTCCCTTCTGCAGGGAAACAAGGTGAACTAGGACCACAGCCTGAGCAAAAACCCCTGCTAGGCAAAGGAATGTGCATTTTCCAACTTCCTTTCCTTTCTTCGTTACTCTGAGGGGTGTTTGATAGAGCTCCTCAGGAGCAGAAGCACAGCTCCTGTCACCACAGAGCACCAGAAATTCAGTGTCTCATCCAGGCAGAGATGAGGATTAATGCTTTCCTAACTCCTTTTGAGCTTCTTCCTTGTACTAGGACAGAATTCACAGAAGTTTCTAGTCCTTTGTTCTTCCCCATAACAAAGTGGGGAAGAAAAACCAGGTCAAAAAAGTGGTTTTCTTCCTCTTCCATCAGCTGTGAGCAGCTCCAAGCTCCCTGATGTGCAGCAGGAGCAAATGGCACCTTCAACGGAGGGCTGAGGAGCCAGCAGATAGAGGTTAGGGGTGCACTGGCTTCTCAAAGGAGCAGTCCAAGGGCAGGACAAAGCCAACACTGTGGTGTTGGGGAGAATCCCAGCACAGAAATGAGATTTCCATTTGCTCTGATGGTTTCACTCCATGTGCTAACCTGTGTGCCTCAACGCTCTGAGCTGAAATCAAGAACAGGACCTGCAGTGCCCACTCTTCCCCACAGCTGACATGTGTCACATCACAGAAACCAGGAAAAGATGAGAGCAAACCAAAGGTCAATGCAATCCAGAGGCTTTAATAGAGTTTTCTGTGCTTTTTCCCTTGGACAACACTGAGGGCTCAGCCCTTTGTCTTAACACAGCACTACAGGATTTGGCAGGTATGTAATACAAAAAATACCACAGGGACATTTTACTGTGTTTCCTTTTCTGCTTCTCTCCTCCCCTCCACTGTCTTGGGAAAAAGTAAGTAGAGGAGTTTGAGCCATTGCCAACTGCTCTATTAAAACAATAGAATTTTGGGAAGCCCCAAAGCATTATTTGTAGCCACAATAAGCATAGTTTACAACTAAGCCTTTCATATCAGCAGATCACAGCAGGGCACTGAAGAACTGATTGTGTACCTAAGCACGTTTGCATCCCAGCTAAATATGAAGCATTAATTTAAAGTGTTAAATGCCCACAGCCCACACACAGCACCCTTCAAACTGCAGAGGGAGAAACAGCTGAGGTGAGCTGAATAACAACCCAGATGTTACCTTGGTCTCTGCTTCCTGCAAAGTGAGCCCACAGGGAATGCTGTCCCATCCCATGGAATAAATGTCAAAGCTCAGGTGAGATGAGCCCAAATCCCCCTCCCAACAGCCACTACTGCCATCCACAGCTCCCCAAGAGTCTAACATTGAGGCTCTTCATCATTGTCTATTATTTAAAAATTCAGCTGTTGATTCTAGCAGTCTGTCACATCATGGCATATTGCTCTTCTCTCTTTAGAACAGATAGCATGGGGTGTGTAAAATAACAGACACCCCCTCTTCTCCTCTTCAAGCTTTAACTCCACAGAAGAAGTCTTTGCTCCCCAAACCTTTGCACTTTGCTGGTCCTACATGCAAGGTACAAGCTAACACACTGACCCTGAACGAGTTCCTTGTAGCACAAATCCAGCAGCAGCACCAAACCACACAGCAGCTCTTGTAATTGCTTTCTACTAATTTACATTATACATTAATCTAACATTATACATTAATCAATAGGTGAGAAGATTTCACTGCTCACTGGTTTTGAGGAACTGATTAAAGGAGTGATAAAGAAGATTAATTTATTACAGGATCTGCTAGGAGGCTAAATGCTTGCAGGAGGAAAGGAATTATTGACTTAGATTTACCAGAGGAATAATTCCCATTCATGTATGGGTACATATATATAGAATAAGATGTATGAAGATGTAGGAATATATGCACCAAACAGCTTTGGCATGTGCTGTGGAGTGGGTTTGCTGGGCACAGACTGGAGATGAAGGATGGAGAGAAGCAGCATGGAGCTTCCTTCTCTGCACTGCTGGAAAAACACTGCTGTGATTCTCTGAATGCAGAGACTTAGAAGCCTTTCAGTGTTAAAAGGTGATAAAATCCCCACCAGGGAGCCTCTGTGAGCTGGGCTGCCATCAATCCCACAGGCTCAGCAGGGAGCACGGAGGGGCCGGGACAGTGTCCCTGGGTGGGTGGGTGGCAGCAGACGGGCCAGCCCAGCAGCACACAGGGCACAGCCCCAGCATGACCCAGCAGCAGAGCCCCATCCAGCAGCTGCACAGCTGGTTTCACCACCTCCTGCAGCCGAGGTGGCTGTTCAGTGTGCTGGGACACAGATGTGCCCCAACAGCACCTGCATCACTTCTGCTCACAATGCAACCCCAAGGAGTCCCTTCTGCATCTACCAAGCCATGGTGGGCTTGCCCCTTAATTCATCTACCTAAAATAACCCCAGTTTTCCATTGGGATTTCACTGCAGCCTCACAAAATCCTGACACACACGTGGTACCAGTGCCACTCATCACTGGGAGTTTGACCACACCAGCACAAGGAGGGACATCCCCACCAGAGCAAAGAACATTCACACACAAAGGCTGGGGGGCCACGATGGACAGTGACCTGCCCGTGGCTGTGTGCCCTCTGTGCCAGGCTGTGTGTCCATGGCTGTGTGCCCTGTGTGCCCTGTGTGCCAGCCTGTGTGCCTGGCTGTGTGTCCCTGTGTGCCCGGCTGTGTGCCCGGCTGTGTGCCCAGCTGAGTGCCCTGTGTGCCAGCCTGTGTGCCAGGCTGTGTGCCCTGTGTGCCCGGCTGAGTGCCCTGTGTGCCAGGCTGTGTGCCCGGCTGTGTGCCCGGCTGTGTGCCAGGCTGTGTGCCCGGCTGTGTGCCCTGTGTGCCAGGCTGTGTGCCAGGCTGTGTGCCCTCTGTGCCAGGCTGTGTGCCAGGCTGTGTGCCCTGTGTGCCAGGCTGTGTGCCAGGCTGTGTGTCCCTGTGTGCCAGGCTGTGTGCCCGGCTGTGTGCCAGGCTGTGTGCCAGGCTGTGCAGTGCCTGCAGATTGTGCACCGTGCTTGTGGCACAGCCAGGATGGAGCGAGAGCCACGGAGTGTGAAAGGATTGGCATCCACCCAAGGGGCTGTGCTTAATGGGCTGGTTTAGATACACACACTGGGACAGGGAGCAATCGATACTGCACAGAACAGCAGAGCACATGCACTGTCTGCAGCCAATTATGCTGCTCTCTGTGCTGTACCATATTCATTTTAATGTTACCCTGAAAGGAGGGGGCACGGCAGGTCAGCCAAGGAAAGTGGCAGTGCTGCTGTACAACCCAGCCCTCATTTCTTTGAAAACTCATGTCAATCCAGTGCAAATCCTGTCAACAGAGCATGGTTCGAGGAAATCCATTAAGACTTCACCCTGTTCACCGTCGCTGCTGTTTTGTCTTGCCAGTGCCACACGTGCCCTTTGGGCTCTGCTCCACACCCAGCACAGCATCTCCCTTCCCACCAGCAACAGCTCCCCACAGAAAAGCAGAACAGAGTCCCAGGGACTCAGGTCAGTCTCCTCTTCCTGACCAAGTATAAGGTTGTTTAGAGCAACATAAATGCCCAAATTGAGCCTGGATACCCGGGGGCCTTAGCCTGTGCCTCAGTATCTGACTATTGATTCACCCAGCACAGGGCAGCGCCATAAGGAAAGTTGTATTGTGGGACCAAGGATGCTGCTCCGAGTCAAAGAGCCTGTCCTCAACACAGCACTGCAGTCTGTTGGGTCACAGCATCCCTCATCTCTTTGCACATCAAGCAAAATCTGTGAAATGCCACAACAATCCCTCTCTCCCAACCTTCATCCGAGTCTTCTTCAAGGCGAACCTCCCCTTATAGTAACTTCAGTGCTTGGGACTGAGTCTCATACTACCTAGCCTAGTTTTAAAGCCTCAAAATGACAAAAGAAAAAAAAAGACCAACACCTAAAAAACCAATTCTTTTAATTACTCATTCTGGGTGCAAAAAGACCCTCAAATGTTTGAAGCCCCTGATTCAAAGGCATGGCTGTTACAGGCAGCTGACCAGCACCACACACACTGCTGCCATGCCCTCTGCAGCACCCGGAGGTGCTTCTCTATTCCAAATTACAGGAAATTAACATTTTCAAAAGCTTTTGAGTGTTCCCAGGCAGGAAGCATTACAGGAGGCAGCAGAATCAGTATTATTTATATAGATCCCATTATTGCAAACTAGAACTCCACACTGTCACTGCAATAAAGCATTACCCAGGAGGCCACTGAAAAACCTGAATAAAATCCTGTAATACAGGATGAAATAAGAACAAAAAGGAGGCAGCCTTTCAGATTCCTTGATGTTATCCCTTTAAACGGAGCTGCCTTGACATATGCTGTGCATCACAGGGGACTGGCACGTCAGCAGAGCGCTCCACGACAGCCACAGGGCTCAAAAATCCACCTTTCCCTTCCCACCTGTATTTTCAGGTTTAATTCTTCCTGTTTTGTTTTTCTACTGATGTGAATGTCTCTTCTATTGGGGGATTTGGCAGTAAGAAATCCCAGGGGATAGCCCTGGCAGGTGCTGCCTGATTTGAAGGCAATACTGAACAATCTTCATGCAGAAGATTCCTAACAGGGACAGATTGAGGCAAATTCCTCCTGAAAAACTAGGCTACTGCTCTGCAGAACCCCACAAGCTATGATGTGCCCTCTCTTTTCAAGCAAGAAGCTAGAGAAATGACAGCAGCAGCACGTGCTGCAGAAACAAAGCCAGGTATTGCCTGGCTCTGGACCCTGCCCAAAGGATGCAGTTCCTACCTGAGCAGCAGCCAGGGTTTGCACTCTGGCTCCAAGGTACCAGTGCTGCTGACTTGGGCATGGCTGCAGGCTTGGCTGAGGGTGGGTTTATATGCATGGACCAGGTGGCTCTTTATCTTTAGGCACAGGCTTCTGAAATGTGATGCTCCAGGAGGCAAAGACCCCTTCCCTCAGCTCCAAGTGAGCCTTGCAGCACCTCTGCAACAGGCAAGGCACACTCAAGGGACAGGGAAAACCAATATTACTGGTGCTCTCACTGAGGGAGCTGCAGAGAGGAGCTTGTTAGTATTGATACAGAAACCCAAAACCAGGACACTCTGCCCCTCCTATTTGTGGAAGCAATAATTCTCTGGAGGTGCTTAAAGAATACAGAACAAACCATGCATGAAGTAACCTCATTTCAGATCTGGATCCATTCCAGGACAGTTGTGGACAATTATCAATCCTAATCATCTGGTGATTTGCAGTAAAACTTGCAGTCAGCATCTCCATCGTGCCCTTGTGAGAGCCCAAGGAGCAGTGGGCTGGCACAGTGCAAGGCTGAGCTGGAGCTCTGCAGCACCAACACAGCCCCAGCCCGTGACTGCCCTGGCAGTGCCAGCCCAGCCCTGAGCAGGGTCTGCCAGCACTGCCCTCCTGCCCATCAGACAGGCTGGGGACACAGCCAGCTGGGACAGGCACAGGCTGCCCAATCCAGCCAAATTAAACCCATCCAGAAGCACCCACCGAGCTGGGGCCAGCTAAAGCTGCTAGTTGCCACCAACAAGGTTCCTGTATTTTAACTCCGTGTGTTTCACAGCACTGCTGGGACCTGCACCTCTGCCAGAACCCCTTCTCTTATGAGAAACTCTCATTAAGCAAACTCCTAAACAAGCAGACTTCCCAGCAAGCATGTGGAGACAAGGTGCCAAGGAGACCCCTGAGCAGTTCAAGCCAAATATTAATACATACAAAAAATATAACAAGATCCGTCTGAGGACTATGGATAAAGATCAGCATAAGCCAATACCTATAAATAAATGGGGTATTGGGGAAAGATCAGCTAAAGATCAGCTAATCTGCATGTCATCAACCATGGAAAATAAAATGTCAAGTAAACCAGGTGTTTGGGTTGCATCAGTATTTGACAGACCTAAGCTTAAAACAGACTTCCAGGTGCAGCAGCTTTTCAGTCTAAAAGTATTTTATAAAATAAAAAAAGGCACTCAAATGATTTTAAAATTAGTTAACCAATAGGTACTACATGATAAACAGACACATAGCCAAAGGGTTTCTGTGCTTGATCCAAGCCTATTGAGTCCATTACTCAGTGATGTGGGGAGCTCTCTAAGCCATGGCTGATGCAGTGTGTGCACGGCAGCACTGGGTGCCAGGAACAGCATTAATGATGGGAACAGATCTGGGAAGCCGGGCAATATCCGTTTATTTGAGCAAAGTGCTCTCAATAGCTGCAAATGGCACAGTGCCTGTCTAAGGACTGAGTACAGGGTCATGCTAATCATACAGATAACAGCAATTAACTAAAGGAAATGAGGAGGTTTGTACAGAACCAGCCGTACATGAGCTCCTCATGTGATGCTGTTACTGAGGGGAAAAGCAATCCAGGGCTACATAAAGAGGAGATTAACCAGCAAGCACAGGAAAGGGTGTTATTTCGGCATCCAGTATCCAAGATACCACTGCTGAATGCTGTGAGCAGCTCTGGTGACCATACTGCAAGGATAGGCCTGGAAATATATGAAGGATTCAGACAAGACTCTGAAGTCATATTGGCTCTGGAGAAGTTGCCTCACAGTAAGAGGCTTTTGTGGCTCAGGCTATGCAACTTTCCCAAGAGTGACAGGGTTAATTCGGCCTCAGTCTGCAATTACCTCTGAGAGGAAGAAAATCTGATTGCAGGTGGCTCCTGGCCCAGCCAAAATGGACACACTGCAGAACCAGCAAATGCAGCAAACATTTTAAAGCAGAACCCTGGGCTGTGATCAGCTGCACTTCACTCGGTGAGAAGCATGAGTGATGTGTGGACAAAATGCCAGGCTGACATCAGGAGCCCAAAGCAGAAGGTGCAGGTGGAGTTTGGATGTGCAAAGCAGCACCTCCTAGCTTGGACACAAAAGTGAGAAGGCTGTGGGGGTTCTGCAGGTGACAAACCTCTCCCAGCTGTGCTTAATGGCCCTCCCTAGCTGCCCATCTCTGACCCACGTGTGACACATCCCCTAACAGTATCACAAATGCCGTTAATGGCAGTGGGAAAAATTCCAAGATGCTCTATGGAGAGTACCTGAGGAGCCAACAGCTCAAACTGCCTGCCAGGGCCATTTGCAGTACAGGACACTGAGATCTTTTGGGTTTAGTCCTCATATTGACACATGAACAGCCTGAGGATGGTTTGGGGCTGTGTTACTGTACCTTTCCACTGAGACCATTGCAGGATTCAATGAATCTTAAAAATGACAGATCATACCCAGGACAGTGTCCCCAGCTGCCTCAGCAGAGCTGCCCAGCAGCCTCACAGCCTCCCCCCAGGTCCACATGGTTCACCCAACACCCACAGAGCCTCAGCAAAGTCACCAGGAGGCAGGAGCAGGACAACCCCCTCCCCACTAGCCCCTCACATCTACAGAACTGCACATTCTGATGCCAGCCTGAAGGCAGAAATACTCATTTCTGCTCACTGAAGAGTGCACTGGGGTCAGGTTTCATGCACAAGAGGAGCACAGGAGGGCTCATCAAGCCTTTATGCCCAATTATACATGGATGAACCACCCTCTGCAGTCACATGTCTGTTGTGCTTTCCAAACCATCACAAGCACTTCCACCCAAACCTGTGCATGGATTAGCTGGGGGGGACTCAGCACATTATCCAATTAAAAAGAGGGGGAAAAAACATGACAAAGCTCCAGAGTGATTAAGCAACATTTCACATGTCAGAACAGCAGATTTAGTCTCGAATTTGTTAGAATGCTGCGACTAAAAAGAAATACAGGCTGGCATTATGAAAGAATATATTGTAATGGAATCTGCAGCATCAGATTTTTTTCCAGGCAAAAACTACTTGTTACAATAAATGATCTAAAAAAATCAGTATTCATATAAGAATCTGTGTGCATCCACAAAATAGGAGTTGCAAATACATTAGGTTTAAAACAATCTCAGAAAAAACTCATTTTCAGTTAAGTTCTCCCATATCCTCTCCTCTCAAATGACTGCAAAGAGCATCCATACAGTCTCAGAAATCCCATTATCTCCCTGCTCTCATCATAAATTCAGCAGTGTTTCTTTGACAAATTGCATTCCTTTCTATCATATTATTTTAGTAAAAAGTACACATCAGAGCTCTTAATTAAAGCCCACACCTGTAAATTGGATTTTTATATATATAATGGGAATATATACATGTGTAGAATATGAATATAGTACATGCACATAGAGATGGGATCAGGATGTTCCATTACCAAAACAGCACTATCATTTCTACAGCTCTAAAAGAGCCTATTGTGATCTGTGATTTATGTGTTTGTGGGAGCTGTGCTTGTCACCCAGAGCTCCATGCCTCCTTCATTCCTCTGGTTAAAATAGATTAGTTTTTTTAGTTTGTCTATGTGATAAGCTATTCTGGAAGAGTTATTCTAGTGTGAATGCCCTCAGTCTGAAATGAAATACTTTATCATTCTGATTTAGCTTTATCCATATGCTCAAAATTCTCCTATTCCACACGAGGAAACCAAAAAATAAACTGAGCAGCAAGTCTGCTTCCAGTCCAAATGTCCTGCCATTGGTGTTGGGCTGGAAAAGCTCCCCAGTAAGAAAGTGCCCTCACACTCTGGTGGTACCTCCTGGGGGAGGGACTGCTCCAGCCAAGAGGGGAGAGGTGCAAGGGAAGAGAGAAGTCTGCACAAACACCATCAGAGGATACAAGAGACACCATCACCATCCTTGTGTTCATCACGTCCGTGAGGCAAATGCTGCACTTGGACAGCTGAGACGTGTGTGGGAACACAGAGAATTCCTGTACCCAAGGGATTTGGGTGCTCTCATCACAAACTTCCATCAAAAGCCCACAGCAGTTCCAGTGACTTGCCCAGGTGCAGGAATGGAGCCTGTGGCTGTGCAGGAAATTAACCCAAAAGTGGCCTAAGTCCAGCTTTGGAACTGGCCTTTGCAATGCTCCCACTTAACACAAAATTGGCTTCTTTAGGAAAAGTGTAACTACAAGACTTTCATTTTACATGACTTTACTTAAAGTTATCTTATGCCAGGCATGTAGAAAACAAGACATTAGGGGAAAGCACAGAAAGGCCAGCCATGCAGTCGAGATTGATGTGGCAATAGGTGATGGGAGGGCGAGTCCTGAGCCTGCAAAGCAGTGGGGCTGCAGTTCCCCGAGGAGCGGGCTGGCACAGGGACCCCTGGCACACTGTGCCTGCTGCATCCCCCTCCCCATGCCAGCGACCAGGGCAAAAACTCTGACACAGACCCCACAAAGCTGCCTTGCCCTGCCAGTAAGGCACAGATTCACCTCTTCTCCATTAACAGGGGTTTGGCCAGGCTCGGGGCCAGGCTAGGGGAGCAGCAGCAGCAAGGGAAGCAAAGCAAACCCAGCGGCACAGGTGACAGGGCTTTGCATGCGGTGTCCCAGGGATGATCCAGCTCCGGAAGCAAAGCAAACCCAGTGCCCCAGGACAGTGGCACAGGTGACAGGGCTTTGACAGGGATGATCCAGCTCCGGAGGCTGCAGGAGCAGCCCCGCAGCCTCACTGCCCCATGAGTCCCGGCAGTAGGTAGGTCAGGCTGCAGCCCAGAGCCCCTAAAGCATCCCCGCGGGATACAAGCAGCCCATTCACCTCTCTTTTCCCAGCCGCCAGCAATGAAAAACCCAGCCAGGAGCTTTACAGCCTCTTTATTTAAAAGATAAAATGGAAATAAACTTTAGAATGACGTTAGCTAAAACTTTCTAAAATAAAACTTCCATTGAAAGGGGAGGCTGAGAGCAGATATTTCTGAAGCTGCCGCATCCTCCACAGCGCTCGCACTCGGCGCATCCCGAGCCGCCGCCCCCGCCGGAGCCGCTGCCTCCCACTGCTCCAGCCTCGCGTTCCCTGCTCCAGCTCGAATAAACGGGAAGGAACCCTGCCTGCACACACAGGCTTGCCCGGAGCCCAGGCTCCCAACGATCAAGTCGCTCTGTCAGGTTAATTAGCACATAAATTAAGAAATGCTTTGCTCGCAGTAGTGCCGGGCACAGCCAGGGCCCTCCTTGACACGGCACAGAAGGAAAGCTGTGGGCATGGAAATGAACGAAGCATCAGGGAGCCAGGACACAAATTTTTGTCATATCTATGGCCCGTGGTGCAGAGTCACTCAATAACCAAAGGAAATTTAAAAATCACCCTGTTTCTATCATAGCAGCTATTTCTTCCTTGATTACATTTCAGCTTCTCTGCTTTAAAAGTTAGGACATATTTTCCAAATATTTCCAAAATGGGCATCTAAATATACTTCAGCCACACTCTTTCTGGTGCCAGACCGTAGCTGGGAACCACCCTGAAGCTCCACCACCAGGTCAACCCCTCCATCTTAACCCCTACCACCACACAGAAGAAATTGGTACATCTACAACCACCTTCCATCCCACATTGCCCCCCTCACACCCAGGCAAGACCTTTGGACAATTACAATACCTTATAAATACTTTTTTTTTAAATGATTTCTGTTATTTTTATGAAGAACCATGAATTATATACATCACTCAAAAGAAACCTAGAAAGCAAGGAGGTCAAAATGTCAGGGTTCACAATAGTGAGCAATTCCACACAGCTGCCCAAAATTTTCTCGAGGTTCCTTCTTACCTGAGGATGGCACAGTCACAGAAAAGACTTGAAGAAATTTATTCTTCTGAATGGAGAAAAAATGAAAAAAAAAAAAAACTTACCAGTAATACTGAACCAGCCTGCCAGAAGAAAATGGAAGACAAAAAAAAAATATGATTAATGATGCCTTAATCTTTTAATGCAATAATTTCTGCCTTCAAGGGACTTCTGGTAAATAGCACAAAAAGTCTCACCAGGAAATTCCCAGACGCATTAATCTTGCTGCTGGGCCCTGGCAGGTTCTCTGTGCAGTCAGAGGCTCCTCAGTGCAGTGAGGGTGTTGCTGGGCCAGCAGACAGACATGAAAACCTATTTCAGCTCTAAAAGCAGCACAGGTTCAAAGCCTGCTCCAGCCTGCTCCAGCTCGTACCACGGGGAACCCCATCTGGAGCTCTGCCACCCCCTTACACACTGTCAGAATCCTGACATTCCTGTTGTCCCCACGTCAGCAGCTCCTCCATGGAGCCTGAGCTTATTTCTGGTGCTCCACCATGGCATGCTCAGGCCACCTCTGACTCACCAGCCCTGTTTGCTCCATGTCAGGACAGCACAGTTCCCTCAAGTGACTCACATCCTGCGTGACCAAGCCTGTGGCCCATCCAGTCACATCTCACAGCCACCATGACGAGTGACAACTCACCAAGAGGTTTCCATCACTCTCTTGCCTTCATCCCTGTGGGGCAAGTAGGCCTGGGGGTAGCAGACACAGCAGAATTTAAAGCTGTCTAAAGCAGGGTCAAGCAGCTCTGAAGAAAGAGTGGGTTCACATGAACACACCGTGAATTGTGAATTTCAGAGCACCTGTTAATTTAGGAGGAGCATCAAGTGATGCAGCTGAGGGCTGGAGATGCAGGTCAAAGTGGCACACAAAACACAATGCTTTGTGGAAGGAACTCTGGCCAGGGAAGGGAAGGACAGGGATGGAGAGAGGTTGGGTACATGCACCTAGATAAGTAAGTTTTCTTTTGACACATCTTTGGTCAATAGACCCCAGAAGATTATGTAACTTAATTTACTTAAATCTCTTAATTTGCACACATTTCATCTTCTTCTACCTTGCTTCAGATAGCAGGACTTGGAGGCATGGATTTGAAGGACTGGGCAGCAGCTTTACAAAACCATTTCCCAGAGATCCTTAGCCCCAAACAACAACAAGGCAACAACAATCAGGTGAATACTAAACAACAAATGAGGCACATCTGAGTCTGGCAAACTGAACTCATGCACATTGGCAAGAATCAGCTGTAGAAGAGCTGCCCACGCTGAGGGGCAGAGATTAAAGGGTAGAACTTAAGAAGTGCTTCCAGGCATACAGGTAATCATCCAGACATGAGTAACAGCAGGGACAGGAAGCAGTGGCAGCTGGTACAGGAGCATGTGAGCTGTGCTCATACCATCACCCCAGGCAGCACACGAGGGCTCCCAGGGCAGAACCACACCCTGGAGGCAATGGGCACTGGATTGGCAAACCCTGCTCTGAGAGCTGCCACCCAGCAAAGAGCTGCTCCTGGAAAACACCTCAGCAATGTGTGCAGGGGATTTGTACTGGCACAAGACCATGGCCAAGTGCCCCAGCATGGGGAAAGGAGGGTCCCTGCAGCAGCTTGGGATGCTCTCCAAACATCTCTTTTAAGCCAATAAACTCCACAATTTTACAATAAGCTACATAGGGAGTCGCATACACATCTTACATATGTACCCTGAGCATCACCAGATATCTGCAAAGATTGAGGAACTTGACTGTCTCACATTCTGAAATCCATACCATGAACTCAGACCATTGGAAAAATGGCATCAGTGGCATTCTGCTTCTGTTGGAGATGCAGCCATTTCAGTGCAGTTTAAAAATGCATGTTGCTCTTCCCACCTCCTCCATCTCTCTTCATACTTCCTCACTGCACTTCCCCCGGTCATTTCAGCACATCCCCATACATTCATTCATCATCCTCCCCAAGCTGCCTTTATTGGATCCTGCTTTGTATTTGGTGCCCCGAGACATTTCTCTTCCTGCCCAAGAAGAACCAGAAAATTAAACCTGCAGAAGAACATAAAATTGCCTTTAAAAGTAAAAACGTACTACCTTGAGACAGCTCAGCAGTATGTCAGTATATAACTAATGAGCATCCTTATTTTCTAACCCTTTTGCTTTACTTGCCAGCCTTTGAAGGCCAGGCTATGTGACCTAAGGGACAGAAAGGGTGAACAAACTCAGATGGACCAAACATTCAGTACGAGAAAGTTTCAGAAGCACCTTCAAGGACAAGAAATATGCAGGAGAGAAGTAGAAGTGGTTAAGGAGAATATTCAGCATGTATTATCAGGTGAACATTAAGGCACCAGCATCTCCTTCAGAAGAAAAAACTCTTCTAACTTCCCAGAGCTCAAAAACTCCAAAAGGTTCCATGGATTGTCATTTCTCTCCCCACCTTTCCCTTTCCCTTTCCCTTTCCCTTTCCCTTTCCCTTTCCCTTTCCCTTTCCCTTTCCCTTCAGAAGAAAAAACTCTTCTAACTTCCCAGAGCTCAAAAACTCCAAAAGGTTCCATGGATGTCATTTCTCTCCCCACTTTTCCTTTTCCTTTTCCTTTTCCCTTTCCTTTCCTTTCCCGGAACCAGAGTTTGACAAAACTGCAGCTCAAGTTCCAGGCAGTGGAACCTGAGTTTGACAAAACTGCAGCTCAAGTTCCAGGCAGTGACTGCTGAGACCTCCCCTCCGTGCTCATTTGCACAGGGCTTTAGCAGACTGCAGAGTGCCATCTAGACGGAGGAAGGAGGATGTGCTGCCAGCCAGCCAGCTGGAGGTAATAAATCCTTCAGGGGTGCATCACAGAATGCCTACAAGATGCTTTGCAGAACAGCTCTTTGCACACTGCAGATGTTTTGTGGCAATTTTTTTAAAGTACTAAAATCCTCCAGTGGCTGAGTGAGCAATGGTCTCAAATGGCTTGTGGGATGAGATGAGAGCCCTTTCAGTTTAACATTTGAATATTTATGCATTCTCATAGAGAAACATTTTAGGTCCTTATTTTTTCCAGGCTATTTTAAGGTTCAGATGACCACCGAATCAGGACAGTTTTTAATGCTGGGCTTCCAGACAGAGCCTCATTAAAGGACACATGGACCTGAATGGGGCTTACATGAAAATTAATGAATTTTTTATGTATGTGCAAATGTTTGCCTATGGAAAGGCACTGGAAGGCATACTCCATGAGTTGTGGGTTTTTGAGGTGGAGAAGGATAGAAATCTTGAGCAGGATAGAAATCTTGCCTGTATCATAAATGGAAAAATATTAATCTGAGATGACCATAGAGCTGTGGTGGGCAGCAGCTGCTGCAGGGCCTGCTCCAAGGGACAGTGTTCCCACAAACCTGCAGTAAGAAACCAAACCACATCAACACCAAATTTCTGCTCTCCTGTCTCAAGAAAACAACATTCTCATTTGTGTAATACTGTGAAAAGTGCAGAAAAGTCTCTCCTAAGCTCTTACATTTCCCTTATATCCAGCTGTGCATAATCACTGCCAATCCCAACCACCCCAGAGAACACCAGCAGCTCCATACCCTTCACAAACAATGCTGAAATGCAGAGACCTCCTAAACATGCTTGTGTAAGACTGAAATGTGCCTTTGCTGCCCAGGACAGCCCTTCTGAGTTAGATGAGCCTGAGGATAAGCCAGTGCTTGTGAAGGTCATCAAGGAGGATGAAGCCCCACTGACCTGCTTGGGCAGGGAAGCAGGTCCTGCTGCCCCGTCACCTTTGTTAAATCCAGCATGGAAATCACTCCACTGCACCTTGCTGCCTGCCCTTGTCCAAGCTCACAAGATAACCTCAGGAAAAATTCAGCAGAAGGCTGAGCTGAGGACACAGCAAGCGGAATAAATGTGCTCACCTTTCTCCTGTCAAAACCCAACCTGACAAATTCACCATTTAAACTAAGCAGCACTGAAACAGACCCGTGAAATGGTTGGGGTTAGAGGAACCCTAAAGATCATTTTGTTTCAACCCCCCTGCTATGGGCAGGGACACCTTCCAGCATCCCAGGTTGCACCAAGCCCCTTCCAGCCTGGCCTGGGACACTTCCAGGGATCCAAGGGCAGCCACAGCTTCTCTGGGCACCCTGTGCCAGGGCCTCCCCACCCTCACAGCAACAGCAGCCAAAGAATGCCTCGTGTCAAGAGTCCATATTCAAGAGACAGCAGCACAAAGCTGCCCTCAGAAGCACAATCATTTCTTTGGGAGTTATAAAACCAGGCACTAGCACAGCAATGTAATAAATAATAGAACCTGGTGAATAATGCAAATAAAACATTTTCTCTTCCTATTTTTCATGTTTCTAAATATATTTCCTTCTGTTGCTGTCAGGCCTATTCTGCTTTGCCTTTCACAAACCTTCATGCAGAGCAGAAAAAAATTGCAAAGGACTTGGGAGAGAAGCAAAAGGGCTGCTGTCACCCCTGCCTTGTTCCCCCTGCCTCTGCCTTGTTCCCCCTTCCTCTGGCACACTCTGTCAGGACCAGGAAGCCGGGGGCTGGATTTAGATTCAGCAGGAAAACTCTCCCAGCCTGTAATTATGCTGACAGCTCCACGAAAGCTTTACTTTGGGTCTAATTAAGACTTATTAGATTTGAAAACAAACAGAACTTGGTTCTTTCCAGTATGATAGACCCTGTACATATGCAAAGAAAAAAGGTGAAAATGAAAAAATAATGGAAATGCAAGGAGAAAAAAAACAAGAAAAGAGGTCTGTGTCCAGCATTTTGAGTTAGGGCTTGGAGCCCTTCATGAGCATCAATATTGGAGATGGTGGGATGGTGGACAGAGGGACAGAGCCTGACTCAGAGCTCCTCACCCACTGGTTAGGGGCCACTTGCACATTGCTCCCCAGTATCCTGTGGTTAATGCTGTGAAGCAGGAGGGAAATTCAGCCTTTCAGAGTGTCTGATGGCCGAGAGATGGGGCAGGAGGGGAAGCAGCACATACAGGATCTTGGGGTGAAGGGCTGCACTTCCACGTCTGCAGGAGAGAATGCACAACCTGAGCTTGCCTCGGTCAGCATGAATGTCACCTTAGTTTGTGTACTGAATACCTAATGTCAGTGCAGCAAAAGGACACTACAGCAGAGTTTTTCAAAAAGACATTCACAGGAGCTGCACCCACCTGGTGCAAGGAGGGGATTTCCCTGTCCCCAGAGAGACACGGACAATAAATGCAGCTCATTCACTCTTCTCATAGACTATTTTCTCACATTAAGAGCAGAAGATTATGAGAGTGTATGTGCTGGGCTGCAGTAAAAAGGCAGCGTCTGAGTGCCGAGCCCAGCACAGCTGCTGGAGTGCCAGTGCCCTCTCCTGTTCAGCGTGCACCAGCTCGTTCCACAGCATGTCTGCACGCCTTCGGAGGCTGGGGAAACATTCCAGCCTGACATCCTGCTAACAGCCCATTAAAAATGGTGTTTATAAGGTTAAGGGAAATATGAAAATGCTGCAGAACTTCTGTGGACACTGTGTTCTCTTTGCTGCAGTCCAGAATAGTTATCATTTGCATCGGGACATTTAGGAAGAAATAATCCTCAAACTATCCCATGTCATTATGTACAGCAGGTTTGCATCTTCTTTCCAGAGCACATCTTCAATGGCATCCACTTTTACTCTGTGTGGCTGTAACTTGAACTTCAGCCACTGCCAAATGTATTCACAAAGTCACAGAGGAGGAAAGCGAAGCCAAAGGGAGTCATCAGGGATTGACATTGGGGTTTATCCTCCCACTCTACCTGGACAGTTTTCCAGACTTTTTACACTGTCGTGTAATTACAACAGCACAGATTTATCCCCATTTTACCAGAGTATTAAAAGCAGTGGTGCTGCTACAAAGTGTTTTCCAAACAGTTCTCTTCTCAGCCCAAGGATTTCTGAAGGGCAGCTGTGATGAAGTTTTCTGGTCTGATATTATTAAGCATCCTAAAGCAATAGAAAGAATTTAAAGGATGAGTAGCAAACCTTTTCACTACTGGAAAGTGGGAATATTCCCAGGGACACTGTCCCCAGATGCCTTTAGAATTGTTATTGATGTGCCAACAGAGGGAACATGTTTTCCTCCTTCTGAATCACCACTGCCTGGAGCCATGCTGTAATGTGGGAATTCCAGCATCGGGCTACTACAATGAATGAAGGTCTCCAAGTCCTATCCTTGAGAGAGTTGTCACTTAATTACACATGACAATACTTAATGACTTAAAACTAAGACAAAAATAACCCAAGGCTCCTCAAAACAAGCTCAGCTGAGCAAGGTTTCTGGCAAGGGCACTGCAAACTGAGCGGTGAGGGCCCCCCATTCAAACAGGATTTCCTAGTTCCTGAGGTGTCCTTGTAATCCCAGCAGTGACCTTTCCTCCTCTCTCCCCTCACAGGGCTCACACAACCTCGCATCCCCAGGGGCCAGGGCCACCCAAGAGCTCAGGAGGGAGAGGGGTGACACACAAACTGCTGAGACCATCTCAGCCCTAACCAGGCTGACAGAAACAAGCCTGATCAGGTGATGGAGAGCAAAAATCACCCAAGTTAAGCAGAGCAGGAACATGTTTGGCACCTCTCAGCTTTAGGAAGATAACAAGCACCCTTGAGCAGGAAGGAGGAGCTCCTGGAGACCCTGCTGGGCAGAGCACGGCTTTGGTGGCACTGCTGTCACCAGCACCAAGAGAAATTGCCCTACAGGGAGCCAGGGATGGACAGTACCTCCTGGCAAAGTCAGACTCTCCTCCTGGGGATGCTGAGCCATCTGAAAGCTAAATTGCTCTAACTGGAGCAATACCAGTTTGCCCAACTGAAAGCCAGGGCTCAGGTGAGCTGGCAGAAACAGCTCACCCTGTGAAGTGGCTCTCATGCCCCTCTCACTGTCTGTTATTCCCACCAGCACCAACCAGCAATGGATGACAAGAGCAGGGTCTCTATGATCATAGACAGGCAACCTGACATGATGTGTTATTTCTTGTATATTTCCTCTATGTTTTTCTCCAAATAAAATTAATAAGATCAGACAAAATTTCACACTAAAATGTTGTCTAGGGTGTTGGTGACACTATATTTATACAATATCTCTCACCTTAAAAGATGTATTAACCTGTACAGCAGCTTAAATTAATTCTGCTTTGTGTTCTGGCAGCCAGAAACAACAAATACAGCTGCTCTGCTATCAGCTGCCAGGTCTCCTGCCACTACCTTTCTATAAAGCTATTTGCTGGCAGCTCCTGCTGGGAGCAGAGACCTGGTGTGGTGCTCACAGGGGTCACAGAAGAGCAAGGCCACACTGCAGCCACTGGGTGTTACCAGAGGCCACCACAGAGCCCTGCTCCAGCCAAAGAGCAAAGCTCAGAGCACCTTTGCAAGGGCCTTGGTTGTCACACCCAGGGGATACCCACAGCTCCTCACATACAGATTTGGACACCTCTAACTTCTTTTTTCTGCAACTTAGATCTATGAGAGAAAACTAATCTGTCCCAGTTTGGATGCTCACACAAAACCCATCAGTACACCAGGGTTCTTCCAATGATTTTGGGTTTTGTCAGTTCTTTACATAACATATGCTCACACTGCAATAATTAGGACGAGATCTGGAACTTGCTGAAAGCCAGCTGGGAAATGGGGATTTATCCAAAAACAAGTTTTGGGACTCTCACAGAGCAAGGGAGATGTTGTACCACAGTAAACTGAAGTTTAGAAGACACTAAAGGTGTTTCCACACCAGAAACTGTATTGGTTGGAGTCTAAAATGAGTTACCTCTAATGACTTGTGGCTGTTACTCCAGACTCCCAGTTTGTAGGAGTCCTACTAGACCACTCTGAGGAAAAGCCCATCAAGGCACTTCCATGTTCACCACCTGTGATGCCAGACAGACATGCAAACAGGAAGCAATGCCCCGCATTTCTGAGCAAATCAGTCCCAAAGTAAAATCTGAAGGGAAAGCCATACATCCAGGAGCTACCTTTATTGAAATGCACCTTCATCAGGCCAACAATGGCCAGTTTCAGGCCAATTTCATCAGTGAAATCATCTCTTTTTATGTCAAAACCATCAGGTTTGGGGTCTTCTGACCTGAAGCAGCAGCAGCTCCCTTGAGCTGGTTCATGTGCTGTAGGTGTGGGTATCCCCTCTATGCAGGGCACCAGCCAGGCTAGCCCTGGGGAGGATGGAGCACAGGAGGTGACACACACCATGACACTCCAGGTGGACACACCCTCTGCAGCTGAGGCTCCTGCTGTGGCTCCACATCAGACAGTGCAGATCCAGCACAGGCTCTGTGGCAAATCCACCCCACAGCTCTGCCCCAAGCTCTGCAAGGCTGCTAAGGGAAGCTGCTGAAGGTTTCCTTTCATTAATCAATGACTTTAAAGCCATTTATGGCACTAAATGTCTCTCCTGAAATTCCTAGTTATAGCTGGTGCCTGTACCTAGCAAGCTGCTATTCTCTCTGCTGATATTCAGTCTTGCTGAGGTACCACTGCAGGGACACCACCATCCCTCACAGTCCCCATCCAGAAAGTCCCTCAGTGAAGCACCACTTCTCTTGTTTTGTGGCCCAAAAGCATCACTTCAAGGTATGATATAACTCTATAAATAAAGATACAATGTATAATACTTATGATAACCAAATTGTTTTCATAACAAATTGCTAGCAGCCTCTGAAATCTCTAAATACCCCAAACAGAAAGCATTTAATTGCACTCTGAGTCACTGATGGATTTCAGTCCATCTGTAATACTTAAACTGAGTAGCTATCTCCAACAGCTACATCCATATTAACAAATGAGAAAAAAAGTCAAGTCCACAGCACACTGAAATCAATACAGCTTTAAATGTACTCATTTGAGATGAATCTACAGCCCTCACACATTAAAAAGTGCCAGCTCAGCATTTTTCTAGGAACTGAATCACCTTCCCACCAGCCCCACAGGACTCCAAAGAGTATTTCAGAGAGGGAGAAAATGTCCAAGAACCTTAAAAAAATGGGGAAAAACTCAAGTTGGCAATAATGAGTAATTTCTGCTGTGTACTTCCAAAGGTAAGGGAAAAATAGGGGCTACCCAAAACAAAATTTAGGGAACTACCCACTGAAGTGCTCCTTGGTGTGCAGTCTTCTGCTTTCTTTCAAAGGGAAGAATATTTTCTTTCAACTTCACATAATTTCAAAACATGAAATAGTAAAAAAAGAAACCAAAACAGTGCAGCAAGTCAGTTAAGTAAATACTGGCATTAACTAATATTTATTGAAGGTATAAATAGTGAGTCCCAAAGCCTTGGTGTAAAACCAAGTAGCTCTAAATCTGCCCCACTGCACCCAGCACTACAAGCCACAGACATGCTCACCCCAGGATTATTTTGCATGTTTTAAGTCATGTCTCCACCCCTGAGCACACTCCAAGATTTGATCAATCCTACGCTCACATCAAAAGAGCAAAATGCTGTAGTAGATGTGTAAAGAATCGATTTGTAAGAAATGGAGGAGGGAAAGTTACTTGCATGGACTAATAACTTTATAAGGCTTCCCAAAAGAACATGTCAAAGCATTTGAAACTATAGATCTTCTAAAATCTGATCCATACTTTATTCTACAGCCACAGCACATGAAAAATATGTCAGAATCTGTGCTTTAAGTTGCTGAAATTCATCAGAATAAATAGGAAAGTTGGAACAAAGCATAGCTGCCATTGAGATGAAAACACCTAATTCCTGCTGGCCCTTTGGTGGACTTTGTCTCACAACTGGACACTACAGACTATACAGATAATTTCAACACAGACTTATTTAAAACAATGAAAAAATGAGAGGATGTGAGGAAAGGGAAGAAAAGAAAATATGAGATATTGCTGAGTGAAAGCAGAGTAGAGAGGTACCACAGGGGGGCACAAGGAGGAAACTATTTGCCAGAATAAGATGCAGATCCACAGCTTTGTTTCTACTTATAGAAATGGTTAAAAATAAAAAAATTTAAAAAAAAAAGTTTAAAAAATGTACTTGCTTGTTTGTGGCAGCTGTGTCTCCTGTTCTGACGTCCACAGGGGTCTCAAGGGCCATTCCTTCCATCAGGAGGGTCACAATAATACAGCAGAGCTATTGATCTCAGTGCCTGCTTCATCCATACCAAGGGTGGCAAACAACCCTGGCACCCCCTCACCTGGCTCCAGGGTAGATGGGAGGGATTTCACACCATACGTAAATTTAATTAACAAGAATTTGAGCTCAGAGCTTTACCTCATCAAGGTAAGCTCAGGAAAAATCCACATGGCATCAGCACACTCAGCCAGGCTCCAGTCTGCTGCAGAAAAGTGAGTCCTGTTTCCCGGGCTTCACAAACATGGAGTCTGTGGAAATAGTCTGTAAAATGGGATTTCAGTTACACCCGAGCTGGAACTATTAAAAAAAAATTCCTTTTGCTTTGAAGTCTTTGATGCAGGGTCAGAGCCATTAGTGCAGATTCAATCACAGGAATTATTTTGGTTTGACATGAACATCTGTTCCCTCCCTGTGCCCCTCAGGCTGGGCAGGAGCCAGCCTGGCTTTGGCTCACATTCTCTCTAAGTGTGTGTAAAAACTTCTTGGGTTGGCAGACCAGACCTGTTTGACACAAAAACAAAGGTGGCAGTACGGCCCAGGTGGAACACAAGTCTGCTTCAGAGGGGCTTGAGCTCAGAGTCACCACGGCCATCTCTGAGCCCTTCCACACACGCTGGCAGTCTGCACAGGGACCTTTAAACAACAGCCAAGGCACCCTGCCCAGCCAGGGGCAAGAGCTGGCGTGAGCCCAGGGCTGCTCGCCTGCCCCAGCAGTGTCACTGCACCTGCAGCACCTGCAGCACCAGGGAGCGCATGGCAGCGCCAGGAACCAAACCCCCACACCACACTGACACCTCAAACGCTGCTCCTCCGCATTTGCACAGCTTTTCCCTTGCAATAACACCTCGTAGTAAGGTGGTATGACCATGTTTGACCCCAAACGTGGCTCAGCCCTGGCAGCTGCGGTGGGCCCTGGCCTGGCTGCCATGAACCCTTCAGAGCAAGCCCTGCAGAGCAGGCTGGGGACCGTGCGATAAGGCCGTGGGCACTGTGATAAGGCCGTGGGCACTGTGATAAGGCCGTGGGCAGTGTGATAAGGCCGTGGACAGTGTAAGAAGGTCGTGGACAGTGCGATAAGGCCGTGGACAGTGCGATAAAGCTGCCCGTGGCCAGCACTGAGGCTCTGCTGGCTCACACCCTAGATGGCAGCAGCACCCAAGGAATGGGCTGGGAAACACAAATCTGCCCATGCCTGATGGGGTTTCACGTTCATATAAATCCCATCTGAAGGCTTCCATCTAAAAAGAAATTCCTCTGGAAACCTGAACGAAAGGAGCATGATGTGAACACAGAGCGTTTCTGGAGCTGGGAGCCGAGGTGTCAGATCCCTCACGGCAGCACGGCAAGGACAGAGCCAGCTCTGCCCTGCAGCCTGCAAAGATCACAGGCACGCTCTGCTTTTTCTGTCACCAACACACTTTTCTGCCACAGTAATGGAACAAAACTGCTGTGAAAGGGTAACTGGGAGGGCTGAACAACGGGGGAGGGAGGACACCCTCAGCTTGGGGAAACCTTGGCCTGTTTCTCTGTGTAATCCTTTCCAAGTCGTACCCACACCTTACAATAACCGTACTCATTTCAGTACTGGCGCACTGTTCCCAGCTCCCTGATGGCTCCTCACTCCCCAGCCAAGAGGACAGTCCCAGGGCAGGGGCACAGCCCTGGCACAGGGCACACGGGGGGCCATGGCTGTGTGGGACGTGCTGGGCAGCAGGAGCTGCAGGGCCATTCCCGCTGCATCCACCCAGGAGCAGGGGATGCACACCCTGGGGGATTTTTCCAGGAGCACAGGGTAGCAGGAAAAGGGTGCTATTCCCCCCTGACACACAGGACTGGCACTGCACAGCACCCACCTCACTCTGCAAGGTGTCAGAGACCTTCAGAGAGTCCACAAAAGTCAGCTCACACCAGACTCTTCTTTCCCTGCCCATGCTGGCCCTACCTCTGCTCTCCAACGCTCTTGCAAACGCTGCAGTGCTGCAGTCAGGGCTGCAGTGAACTCCTGGGAGTTCACTCAATTCCATTCCTCATTCTGAAGAAACATTAATATTTTAGCATCAATGACTATTGATTTTTCTTTTTCCATCTTGCATTTCTTGAGCACATCCTGTATGGAAGCAAACTTGAGAGAGAAGAAAAGAGAGCAAATAATGTTGTTTAACTTGCAATGTATTACCAGCTTCATTAAGTGAAATGCTAAACCTGGACTTTTCCACATGGATTAAATGTCACTGTGGCAGATAATGGACAAAATATGTCTACAAATGAAAACCAGAATGAGATACAAGTAGCAGAAGTGGGAAAGCATCACTCCATCCACTGCCTCATGCATCTCCCTGCAGTAACCAAGGCACCAGCCTGAGTCTCACCCTGCTGGGCTGGGCAGTGCCACAGGTTTTACCACATCACCTGAAAAGCATCTTGGCCATCCTGTCACCCATGCCACTGCTGTCTGAGAAGAGTTAACTTTGGGCTAGATATTCAAGGGTTACTCTTCTATAATAAAGTCATGATTATGGAGATTACACCAGCTCTACTATTATATTTGAAAATTTAAACACAAGAAACACACAGGATTAACAAAAAGTGACAGTTTCAGCTCAAGGGCCTGCAAAGTTGCCTTCAGCCACAGAGAAAGTAGGCAAAGCAGGATGTCAGGATGGATTTTGATCTTTATAAAGGCAAGATGACAGCACACTGTGCTTCTAAGGATACAAATACAGCTAGTAAATTCAAGATTTTCTGTTGCACAGTTCTGTTCATCTGATAATCTTAGGAGTTCTTCAGCTCAAAAAATAATTGATTCCCCACCAGTCACAGGAGCAGGCAAAGGCACAGGGAAGCAAACCCACAGGGGACGGGTGCAGCCCTGCCATCACACAGGGCAGAGCATCTCTTGGCACAGCCTGCTGGATGCTACGTTCCAGAAGAAAATCTGGGCTAAAACACAAGAAGCAAAACTCCAGACCCTGGGAGAGCCAGGACTCCTTCCCCACACCTCAGGCTGCCCATATCACCTTGCCTCTACCTGCTAAAGCAGGGACAAATGCTGCTTTTTAAATATATTCACACAGTAGCTGGGTCACTGCCACATTATGGGTATGCTCCAGAGTGAGACTTCCAAAAACCAGGGGCTCCACCACCACATGGCATTTATAGGACTTGAGGTCTCTGTAATCCTGGAGAGGATTCTCACCTCCTCCTCTCTACCTGCAAAGATCAGTGAGCTGCAGCACGGCCATCACTGGCAGGTTCACCCCTTTCCTGTGAGGCTCCAGCATGGGAAGAAGCTCCTCCAGATCATTCCCAAGCAGTGGAAACTGGCAAGGCTCCATAAAGCAGCTGAAGATCTGGCTCCACTTGATAGTTTTATCTGAGATCATGATGAGCTTGACTAGAGGGTGCCAGCTGGATTGCTCTGGGGAACCCTATTTATAGATAACACTTGAAAGGGCAAGTTCAAGGTGATGGCCCCTGGTGGGCTGTTTTTGTATTCCTTCAGGAGATCCCTATTCACACCTACCCCAGTACTTGCCAGGCAGGTTGGAAAGGCAGCAGATGAGAGCTGCTGGTGCTTTGTGCTTTCTCCAGCCTCCTGGCAGGAGCTCTGCTGCCATCTTGCCCTGCAGCACAGACCCTGGACAGCTGACACATAGCTGCACATTCTTCAGACCAAACCTTCATTTTTGTGGTCAGAGCAGTTTGGGGTTTTTTTCTCAGAGCAATGAGATTCTCAGTGCAGCAACAACAGATCACCACTTTGTAGAGCCATCACCTGCTTGCCTCTGAGCACAGCACTTGTTACTTGACTCTGGGCATTTTGTTTCACAAAGAACATTGCAAAATCACTGGCAAGAATCACCTCAGGAATTATTTTTGTTTGCTGAAGGACTGGTTTTCAAAGGGGTAAAGGGACTAGGCATAGCATCTAAATAATCCCAAGGGCTTTGCATTGCTTTAAAAAACTTGGGAGATATTTTAAAGCATCAGCATCACTCCCATGAAATCCCCTGTGACACAGAGATGCCTCCACTGAGCCTAAACCACGAAGCAAAGCCACAGGCTTAAAAAAGAGAAAGGATTCCCCTCCATACCATTGCATCAGGGCTTTATTTGGGAACCCAGGGCACTTGGCTTTGCGTAGTTCTTAGTTATACTGCACGTGGACCACTGTAAAAATGACTTTTTGAAGTGAACAAAGCCATCCATTGGCAACTACAGCCAATGCTGAACCAGGCCAGCAGGAATACAAAGCTACCCAGTGTAAGCCCACAGCTACTCCAGCTGAGGGCAATGAGAGTCCACAGGAAAATTCCCTTCACCTTCCAAGGCTCCTGTACCACCTCTTGCACATCACTTATCCCTTCTGATTTTCAGCATCTCCCACTGACCATCTGTGCATAGTTTGGGCTCACTCAGGCATTGGAACACCTTCCAAAAATCTGAATTCCTGGAGATTTTAGGCTGAAACACAATACATAATCTGGGGTCTACTTTTCAGGTAATATCCCAGGTTTATGTAAAACAATTTCAAGAAGCCAACAGCCCAGTTGGTTCTTTTCTGAGACACTCTCCAGTAAGTAGGAAGTTTTAACAGGTGTAAATTCAGGGTTAGGATCTCTCAATAATTCATAAAAGAAACAGACATAACAACACTTAGAGCCTTAAATGATTAGGTATCTAATCCTCAGTGTTCTGCCCTTTCCCGTGTACCAAATCACACCAGAGTACAGACTAACAGAAATCCAACAGATTAATAATCCAACAGAATAAACAACGTTTCACTCCCCAGTTCACTGTATTAGTTGCCAACCTGACAAAACATGAGTGAGGAAGGGGCTTGGCCTTAATATAGAACTGCTGAGAAACTTTTAATTGGAATTTCAGCCCTTAGAAAATAGCATTTTTATGCCTTTATCAAAACCAGGGTCTGGGAGATGTCCTCCTTCCTTTGCAGGTGATGTTTCCATCAAGTGACACAAACTCAGCACACACCTGCACCTTCACAATCCAGCCAAACCCACCCAGTTCCTTCAAAGCTCATGAAATGTGCAAGATGGAGACAAGAAATCCACATAGTCAAATTTGGGATTGGTTTCTGCTTTGAAGAACTACCTGTACTTCAGGAGTTGCAGTTTTGATGACAACCTTTAAGTTTCCAGAGGAGCATGTGCCTTATAGGAAAGGAAAGTTCATCTGTTCTTGCCAGTGGTCAGGGTTTTGAGCAGCAGCTATGGCTTGGCAGCAAGGACAGCAGTGCCTTTTACCCCCTCACAGATAAAACTGTGTTGAGAAGGTCAGGACAGAGCAAATGTTTGACTAATTCAGGTGGAAAGCGAGCCTGGGAGGTTACCTGCTCCAATCTCTACCCAAAGCAGGTCCAAGAACAGGACGGAGTCTGCAGTATCTTCAGGGCTTGAAGCCCCGCAACCTGCAGGCAATCCAAGATTATGTTAACTTGGAATAACCACCACAAATTACATAAAAGCACTTACCAGAAACATCTGGGCCTTCAGACAGGCTGTGTTCAGCACAGGGAGAAGCTTCTTGGGTATGGTCACACATGGAGGAAGAAAACCAGATTCAGACAAGGCTCATGGGTCAATCAGGAAAGATCAAGTCAACCTGGAAACTTACTCTGAAGGAACTCTTATGTCTTGTGTTGAAAGGATTAAAGACCCAGTTACTGGGATTTAGACATGTTGAACCCATTTTTTCTGGAAAATTTCTACACAGGACAGATGAACTGCTCATATTTTGGGATATGCATCTAGGCCTAAGGAATTCTGAATTCTGGCAAGACTACTTCAGAAGCTGTTATAGAGCAAGCAGTTGCAGACAAATCAGGTTTTAATTAATAATCTCAGACTCCAAATGAGCTGCATCCCTGCACTGTCATCTGGAAGCACACAAACCTCTGCAGCTACAACACTCAGCGTATCTTCAGCAGATTCCTGCTCTGAAAACCGCAATCACTTAAATCAAAGACTTCAAAATTCCTTTTGCAGCAAGACAAGCATCTTCAGTGATTCACATTAAGGACAACAGTTTCTCCAGGGAGAGGAAAAAAGCCTGCCTACCCCATGGGAGATCACAGATGCTCTTTCACAGGAAGTAATTTAAATGTAGACAGGAAAAAAAAAAAAAAAAAAAAAAGGAAAAAAAAAAAAACCAAAAAAAAAAACGGTTTCACTGAGTGAGCTTTTTCAGCAGAAAAGCTTAGGCATAAAAGCAAAAATACAAATTATAGTTCCCTCAGCAGAATAAACAGTAGGATTACTGGCAGGGCATTCAATGCAAGTCTCCAGAAGATGGTCCTCCTTCCCCCTCAGCTGAGAAGTTCATTCACCTCTAAGCACAAACCATGTATTTCTTTTTGTTGGGGCTTTCAGAGAGAATAGGAAAGCAGGTGTTAGAACACTTTGGTTGAAGACAGCATTAGTTATCTTCAGCTGTACTCTATGAAATAGATATAGCAATACCACTCTTGCAAACTTATGGTGAAGCTCTCTCCCCAGAGCTTTGAAATTTGAAATATATTCAAAAAAGCACAGCAGGTGTTTTTTAAAAAATGGCCACAAGACTGGCCTAAAGCATACCAAAGATGCACAGATTTTTGTGGTTTGAAAGTGATGTAGAGACTATAATCTTGCAGAGAGGTAACACTAAACACTATGAGTTATTAATTACATGAGATCAATTACTCACTTTAACAGCAGAATTGGGTATTTTCTCCCCATCTTGATCTCACATACCCTATTATACATGGTACTCAAAGAATTCACTTCAAAAAAAGAGAGCTAGGTTTAAACAGCAATATAAAAATGGAAAAGCCCAGGAAAAGAACAAACCTGGGCAGCACTGGCCTGTTCTGGCACAGGTACGCAGGGCTGCATGGGCAGGAGCTGGACATGGCCCCCTCAGGACTCCAGCAGAAACAGAACAAGGTTCTGAACATATCTACTTTAAATGCAAACATTTTATGTCCTCTGCTTTGATGTTTTGTAAAAAACACATAAGGTGTTCAAAGTACCAAAAAAAAAAAAAAAATCCTGTGGCTTGAGTTTCAGAGCTGGAAAAGCATTGTGAGTTTTTCAAACATGTAACATTGTTACACCATGACAACAGCAACAGGGACCCCAGGATTCCCCTTCATGCCCAGGCTGCTGTTCTATAGCAACCAAAGACAACTTCACCTTAAAATAAATCTGATAGAACAGTGAGATATTACAAAGCATGATCTAGACTGGTCTTATATGGTGTTTTAACCAGCTGATCAATGCATTTAATACTGAATTCTAAGATTTTCTACAAGGCAGTGTCTGCCCAAAGGGCTCACAGCAGATTCCAGTGACCTCCTGGTACCTTGTGCACTCCCCCCTCACATCCCAGTGTGGCCAGTGAACAGCGCTGGTGTTCCACAGCCCCTGGTAACTGCTGGGACAGCAGCAATCTCACTAGCCGCTGAGGAACATCTTTTACAAAAACCCCCAGAGGCAGGTGACACTTGCCTCCTGCACAGGAGGGACTCTGGTTGGTTTATTCTCTACAGCCCGTGTGTGTTATCCTTTTGGGACAGTCTGAGAAGGGGCCCAGTGGAGCAGGGCTGCAGAAAGCACCAGTGTTGACTTGGGCTCTGAGGGAATTCCCCAGGCTCCATCTGTCCCCAGGAGCCCCGTGCTCAGACAAGGAGTGCCGGGGCCCTGCCCTTGCACAGCCAGAGGCTCTGGAAGGAGCACCCACGGGGCCCTGTGGCCACCACACACAACCACACCAGCCCCAGCTGGGGCACAGAACCCCACAGAACACACCAGGCGTGCATTCCTCATCTCTGCCAAAGGATTACTTAGCTCTAGGCTAATAACTGAAAGATGCTGGGTTTTAGAAGCCATTTAAGAATCTTTCTAAATTCCTGTTGGAACATTTTGGTGGCTAAGTAAGTGAAAAAATGTTAACATTAATTAAAAAGATACTTTTTAAACATGAAAGCCTCTATGAAATAAAGCTTTCCTTCATAATGGAATTCTAAAATCTCCAGATAAAGCAAGTGGAAAATAGTTTGCAGGTTTAGGGACACCCACATGAAGCAGGAAATGCTGCTAATTAAAGCACCTGATTTCACTTAAGTCCAAAGAGTCTGTTGCAAAAGGCTGGAAAGCTCTACTATTGAAGTCAACACCACTTAACTTCCTAAACTATGCCACTTAAATCTCTAAGATGCTTCTTTTAAGTATTAGTGATGTTGAAGACTGCAGAACATCTTGTACAGATGTAGTACAGCCCAATTTTCTGTACCATTAGTCCAAAGGAGACAGAACAAAACCCTGTGTGTAAGCTACACCAAACAGCTACCAGCAAAGTGCATTCAAGGAAAGTCCTGATCTGCACAACCAAGGCAGCCTGTCAGCTCACACTAATCACACCTTGTCTGGCATTACTGGACTGTATTATTCAGAAACTTAAAAGAACTACGAAACAGCCTGATTAGTTGTATTTTTTTATTAGGTTTATTATGACTTAGAGTTTCTATTACTCCAGCTGGGTAAACCACATTTGAAAGTAAGTTTAACTGCAGGACTTCAATTTCAACCAAAATCATTTTTGCATGACTTTATTGTAATATAGATTTAAATTGAACATTTAAAACTTACTTCATTAATAAGCAAGCCAAGCTCAGTAGCTTCAGTGCAGGATGTACTTTATGTAACTGCCGCACATTCAGGTTAGATTGGATGTACATGGAGAAGAGACCGGTCAAAGGAGAAAGCAA